GCATTTCTCATCTTGTATTTCTCCTATTTGCGGGATTCTGTTGGTCACCTTTTGTATCCTTTGTCTTCCTGTTTTGCACTTGAAATCAGCATTTGCTTGTGAATATTAAGACTAGAGACAATGTAAACTGTTCAGATGCCATTATCATTTCTGTCTTTTTTTTACTTTCTCAACTCTTTGTAAGCAACAAATTGAGGCTGTTGTCAATGTGTTTCTCTGCTTGTGTCCTCAGATTGCAAGGGAGAGACTAAAGTGAGTGTTTTTGAGGGGGATATCAGGGACTGTGAGCTACTGAGAAGAGCCTGTAAAGGAGCAGCACTTGTTTTCCACACTGCATCTCTCATCGATGTCATTGGAGCAGTTGAATACAGTGAATTATATGGAGTTAATGTCAAAGGTGAGAGTTCTGTGCTGGTCATTAGCACATGGTAACAAGACTCGATCAAAACACTGAATCTCTTGAAACTAATGGAATCCTGTAATGCAATTATTTAAATTTTAATTATTTTAGTTATTTTTTTATGGACACTGTAAATTAAAACCTTGGAGTCAAATAGGTTGGGAACTACTGATTTAAATGATACGTGCATTAGCACATCAAATAAAACCATATGCCAACACTACACAATATAGTAATCAGAGACAATGAAATTGTTTTTCCATTACAGGAACACAGCTGCTGCTCGAGACCTGCATCCAAGAAAATGTGGCCTCCTTCATTTACACCAGCAGCATTGAGGTGGCTGGTCCCAATCCCCACGGTGATCCAATAATTAATGGCGATGAGGACACCCCTTACTCCTCCTGTCTTAAGTTTAGCTACAGCAAAACCAAGCAGGAGGCTGAACAGATTTGCCTTCAGGCCAATGGAGAGCTGCTCCATAATGGAGGTCATCTGGCTACCTGTGCACTGAGGCCCATGTACATCTATGGACCAGGCTGTCGATTTACTTTAGGCCACATGAGGGATGGAATCCGCAATGGAAATGTGCTGCTGAGAACATCACGACGTGAGGCAAAAGTGAATCCTGTATATGTGGGAAACGCAGCCCTGGCACATATACAAGCAGGTCGGGCTCTCCAAGATTCCCAGAAAAGGGCTGTGATGGGTGGAAACTTCTATTACATCTCAGACGACACGCCTCCTGTAAGCTACTCTGACTTTTACTATGCTGTTCTTTCACCATTAGGCTTTGGGATACAAGAGAGGCCCATTCTGCCCTTCCCACTTCTGTATCTTCTGTCGTTCCTCATGGAATTACTGCACGTTGTGCTCCGACCCTTCCTGAAGTTCACTCCTCCCTTAAACAGGCAGCTACTGACCATGTTAAGCACACCCTTTAGTTTCTCATATCAAAAGGCCCACAGGGATTTTGGATATAGCCCACGCTATGACTGGGAAGAGGCACGTAAGTGCACTAGCGACTGGTTAGCATCTGTCTTACCCACAGAGAGACAACAAATTAATTTGAAATAAATTAACAGCATGTTTAATAATACTGTGCTACCTGTATTTCTAAGCAGTAATGTTCTGCCTGATGTATTATAGCAAACTTTTCTTCTAATTAGATCCGCGGTAGTAGAAAACATTCGCTGTGTAATGTTTAGTGAATAATGCTTGTTTTATGGTTAAAAAATGACTGAATATTATTTACACATCTCACAAATAGAAATAAATATCCATATAAAGAAGTAGTAGTAATAAAAAGTACTAAAACCTTTTACTTATTTAAAAAAACGATTTTATGACCAATTTTATTTTATTACTTGAATAATGTATTTTAAAATAAAAAAAAAAAAGTTCAGAAATAAAGACAAGCCAAGTATCAATGCTGTTTAGACAGTACTTAATGAATTTCAAATGCCTTGCAATTAAACAAGATGTTGTGGTAATTCATAGGCCTACCTGTCTGAGTCTGTATATTACTCCACTCGTCTGTTGTTGTCGTTTTTTTTTTTTTTTTTTTTCTTTGGAGTTGCTGGATGTAAGGAGAGTGTCCAGATAGGATTTAAGTTCCTTATGAAAAATAAAAAAGTAAGGCTTAGCACCCTGAAATTTACATTTATGTAAGAAAAATTTCGCTAGAAAAATAAACAAATTTATCAAGAAATATTGGTCCTTTGCATCTTTATCAAAATTGTGCTGACCAAATAAAACATCTTTGTATAACAAAGAAAAACTTTGCGATGAAAATGTGCATACAAAAATACAGAAATCCATCCAGAACATACTTGTATATGTGCATTCCCAGAAGAGATGAGAAATAGATTCGTCTTCAGCACCACAAAAAGAACATAAAGAGTCAATATCAGGAAACATTCTTTTTAAGTAAAGCTTTACAGGATAAAAAAGATGAAGTAATTTGTAGGACACATCCTTGACCTTATTGGTTATTAAATATTTAGACGACAAAGTCCACACTTTCTTCCATGGAATGTTGATAAACTGGCCATTCCAGTAGGACACAATGTACGGGAGAGAAGCAATCTCATTCTGAAATAGCTGTCTAATTCTCCTGTTCCGACCAGAAGAGTTAGATAAAAAACAAATATTCCCAATCATTGTATCAAAAGGATGAGCAACTGACAAAGAAATCTGGGATCTGGCTGAGTCTCTGAGAAGAGTTATTGCTCCATAAGGAATGGCATCCATTACTATAGCAAACTCTCGTGGAGTGACAGGTATGTTATACTTGTTCAAAAACTCTGAATATGAATACAAGTGTCCATCAGCATTGATTAATTGAGAGACCAAAATAAAATTATTATTCACCCAATCTAGGAAAACCAATGACTTATTTTTATAAAGAATATCACAATTATTCCAAATAAAGTACCAGTGAGGACTAAAATTGTGCTTATATATAAGGTGCTAGGCCAAAAGTGCTTGTTTATGAAAATTTGTTAATTTAAGGGGCAATTTAGTGATGTTGTAGTTGCATAACAATAAGAAAGGGAGACCTTTGTTGTCGTTTAGTGGTGACTGTTGCGGAGTTTTCAGTGACCTGTATTGCATGTTGCAAGTTTTTATTCATTTACAGACATATGGAGAACAAGTAATTTTGAGGAAACATGCTAAGTATCGTGAATATTTGATAAATGCTGTGAAATTGATCAATAAATGTTATTATAACTTTTATATATGATATCCAAATAAAATTGAAAACAGATTTGTCAGCTTGCCTGGCAGGATTAAATATATTGTGTCCCTTTAAAAGGAAGAAACTATTTAGTCTCTTTTAAGAAAATATATACTTTAAAATTTCATGAATAACATTCTGTAAGCACAAGCAGCATTTGTTCTGTGTAGTGAACTATTTTTGCATCACAATATTAGTGTTATTATATATTATATGATTTTAAATCCTTTTGCAGGCTAAAATAACATAAAAGTATAAGTGCAACAATCTGCTCACCATCTGACCTATGATATCCTATGACCTAATTCATGTACATAAATTGAAGTTTAACCTGGGTCCACACATCTTAAAAGAGGAGGAGGAAGCAGAAGCCCATCAGTTCCAGTTATTAAAGAATTAGCCATTAATCAATACTTCATCATAATAACCATGGCCGGACTTACCATTGGGCTTGAGTGGGCTGCAGCCCATGGGCCCCGCCTTCGCCCGTTTACATTTGTTTGATTTGTTCATTATATGCCAGTCAGAATTCTGAAATTATTAGCCGCATTTCCACTGCGCACGCAAGATCTAAACGGGCCAGCCGGGGCTACAGCTTACAACTACGACCTTCGAGGCCACAATCAAACAGCATAAACTGGTATTTATGATTATTTCACATAGAAGAAGGACACACGTATTGAATCGCGTCTGCACCGACTGGTTTGTTATCACATGGCTAAGTTACTTTAAACAGCTCCATTAAGCCTTTAGCCCCAAAGAGCGCACATTTAGAAAGATAGATAAATTCTCAAATGTTCACACCTCATTTCTTTACAGAGGATGATTCTATATTACTATATTAATGTTCCACTAAATTATGCGATCATCTGATGAGTTTTGAACGCTCTCTTTCGTCTTACTGCCATTAGCCTACACATAGTGGGGAATAAATGTCATCAAAATGATTTTAAATAAAAAAGCTATTTAATGAGTTTCTGTTTTTATAACATAGCTATGCCTATGATATAGGACTTGGCCTATCACACAAACAAGAGTCCTGTTTTTTTTCCCGAATATCTGCACGATTGCAAATGTACAATAAACAACAACTTATAGAGTAACTTTCAGACACAAAATTCCATTTTGCTCCGTCAGACCTCAAAGCATATGTTTGTGTATCTTGTGTTACTCCAGAATGATGTTCTATTTTAGGGCATTTGTAGTGTAGGTATAGGGCCCAAATATGACCTCAAGCCCAGGCGGGCCCCCGCCCCCCTAAGTCCTGCCCTGATCACAACATACTGCTGTGATTGTACCATCGGTAATATGTCTCCCGCCTTTGATCCCGCCTCACTCTATGGTACTCCTCCTCGGCCTGATCCAGCTCGTATCGTATTTTGCAAAGTGGAGGAAAGTGGAGAGCGGGCCACCTCCAGAAGCTCTTCCTCTTTTTCCTCCTCTCTCCCTGCCTCCTTTCTCCTTCCATCCCCAACAGGCGTCTCATATAAAGACGACGACTCGACGAGGATGGTTCTCCGCAATGATGGTGGTGTATTTGAGTAGTAGGCTACACAGTGTTCGTGAATTGTGTACTACACACTCCATATCAGTCGCTTGTTTGTTATATTGTCCCATGATATGATCTTCACTCCCTAATATTTGCTATCAGAAAACTCCTAAACTTCAGGCTACCAGATTTTTTCAAGTATTTAAATACTGTAATAAGCGGCACGTTCTAACTGTCACATAATTCTAAAAATAAAAATATTTAATTTTGCTTGAAGTACCAAAAAAACCTTTTTTTTTCAGCTGATGAACGATAAAAACATCGACACTCAATCAGAATCAATCCTGCTGTCACGAGCTCGAGAATTTAAAGCGGCAGACGAGCATGGCAGCATCCGCTCGTTCGCTGGTGTGGACGCTAGTCTTTATAGTTGTCGTTCTTGGTATATTGTCGCGACGGGCTACTTTAAGTTTTGGACATGTTAAAACGACAAAGAAACGAATGAATGAGAAAAAGAGCTGAAAACTGCTTGATATTAAAATGAGTTAAGCTCAACAAGCCGCTAAAAGAGCAGCCATCTTTTCCGTCCTGGCGCGTAGGCCTATTCACGTAAACACATCAATATCATTGTATAATGCTCAGATTTTTCTGGTACCATTTACAAAGTAAAGCAACAGCACGTTTGCAAAAGATAGCCCTATGGGGGAGTCTGAACCTGAACAAACAAACAGTTGATGATAATGTCTTTCAAGTGGGGCCAATTGATTGTGTTCATTTCACTTAAATCCAGCTAAAACTCGTCTGAGAGTTTTGGCTCAACACTGTGCCAAAGAGGCCAGAGTCCGGCCTCTGGACAAACAATCAAACATTTCATCTGTGAGGTCATCGGTTCACCACCAGCTGCAGACCAGTGGACAGATCATTTGTTTTTCATTGTTGTAGTAGTCAAAGCCCAGAAAGATTCTCCACTAGCTACACAAGCTATCACAGGATGGAAGCTGGGAATTAATGCCTCTCATGCTGACATGGTTTATAACAGCACACCAGGAATGGAAGGAAAAACCATTCATCTCGCTTAATCGGATATTGAAGCATTTTTCTCAGAACAAAGCATTGTGTAACAGATTGTGGCTGGATATTAAGTGGATTCCAGGCTTCTTAGGACAACTAACTGAAGAAAAGGAACAAAATGCATTGAAAGGACGCAGAAAGAGAAAGAATTATTTTGCACCCAGTGAAAAACCTAACCAGCAGAAACATCTAACTCAGCTGATTTCATCATGTTGATCAGTAAAGCCATGGCTTGGAAATGGATCAAGACTTTTGTTTATTTGTCAATGTGCATCACCTCTGCTGTGGGTAAGTTCAGTTTAGTTCACTATCGCATAGAGTAAATCTTTAATTGTTCCAATCGTATTGGGTAAATGCACCACACCTGAATTCAATCAGCAGTTTTTAGTTAGTAGTGCAGATGTTTATCTGGAGAAAGAGAAACACTGAAAACTTAAGTTATAGTGTGTCTGTAGTGATTCACTGACCAGCATTTGTTAATATAAGTATGTACAGAATTTGATTGTAGTGATTGTAATGTTTACAAATCCATTGATTCATTGAAAGCCCAGTAAATTAAATTAAACTAAACCAGAGACCATTTGACCTCTTTAAAATATACACAGAAGCACACAGAGAATTACAAAATGGAGGTACAAAGTCAAAACCATATCAAAAATAGCATGTTGAATTGCTCGGATCAAAATAAAAAATGCATTACTTTAACAGTACTTGTATTTTTGGTGGCTGCAATTTAACATGTTTTAAAATGTATTCGCCTTCCAAAGTTCATTTCCAAAATATGCAGCTTTTGAAAATACCTTTATATTTAATTTTATACCTTTACTTAATATAATCTTTATTTAATATATAATATTTTACTTTACAAATTCAATTCTACAAAGTCAAACTTACACATCTGAGGACAGCAGTGTCTGGTGAATCCGGTGAAGCCACCAATTACAGGTTAAAATCACAACTTTTTGGCCTTGTACTGTTTGGCATACTCATGAATTCCATGCATACAACTTTACAGGTAACGAGAAAGCATCCCCCAAGTGTGCCGACTTCAACAACACCACTTGGCTGGAATACAGACAGGGCGCCAAGCTCCAGGTTCAGTACCTTCTTCTTACACGAAAGAATGCAGACTGCGCCAGCCTCTTCACACAGGACTGCCTCAACCATACCCAGAAACACACGGCTTACTTCAACTCATCCCTCCCCACTAAAGTCATTGTTCATGGATACAGGTGAAGCATTTAATCAGCAGCATTTTATAATAGGAAAGCATGTGAATGACCTTTTACACAGATGACTCTTTGATATACTGTGTTTCAGGGCTCTGGGCAGTAAGCCTTCCTGGGTGAGTGGCTTAGCCCAGGCTCTACTGCGGGAAGAGGACGTGAATGTTCTGGTGGTGGACTGGGTCTATGGAGCCTCCTTTGCTTATAACCTGGTGGTAGAGAACTACAAGGAGGTGGCAGTGCAGATATCAGTGCTTATCAATCAGCTTACGGTAAAAGTCTCAGTGTTTTGGTCATGTCCAAGTAGTATAGAATCCATTGTTGTAACTGACCAATACTAAATACTATTGACGGCTAAATACTAAAGGCTAAATACTGTGAGCAGTGTCCATTTAGTATAAGTAATAAACATAATAACATTTATCAGTACACAGAGAATCACAGTAAATGCATAGGAAGTACATGGTGAAGAATAATGTAAGTACATTTTTGTTGTTTTTGTGTCCGTTGTAGAAATATGGAAGCACGCTGGAATCTTTTCATTTCATTGGTGTGAGTCTTGGAGCACACGTGTCTGGATTTGTTGGGACCCTATTTGAAGGCAAGCTGGGTCGAATTACAGGTAATATTTTAATAAAATTCCTAAAATATATGAATATACAGTGAGATCCAAAAGTAAGAGACCATATTGAAAATATAGGTTTGAAAATCTTCAAAAGCTGTTATTGAAGCAAATGCGGACATAACATATACAATTTAGCAAATATATTAAAATAATTAAAAATTATACTAAAATTATCTGTAAACAATAAAAATAAATTAAAGCAACACTATGTAACTTTTGGCGCTCTAGCGGTTAATAAACAGAACTGTACGCATCCCGCGGAAGAACATTGTAACCGGAGCTACTTCTCCAAGTTTGTGTCAATGGCGATTCACGCAGGTATGTGTTACTCCGCAGCGGTGACGACCCGAACACGCTACAATAGTCTGAATATAAGCACTTATTATAAGAGTACCGTAGTGATTCGGGATAAGACAAAAAGGCGGTTTGGAAGATGAATTCATTATGTACTCGCTCATTATATACATTTTGCAAATTTTGACCACAGAAAAGTTACATAGTGCTGCTTTAATATATAATTAAATTTTGTCCCAATGAGACCTTTGAAGATGCTACACTTGTGAGTGAAACAAAGACCAACACTGCACCACACTGAATGAGGCTTTCTGACAAAGGCTGCAAGAGCACTTCAAACAAACAATGAGAAATTGTTATGCCACGCAGCCTTGGCAAGAAAACAAGACCTTGTTTGACCATTTAAAGTGTTTAAAATGTATGTGGAACCCTAAAAGTGGCTAAATGTGAATCATTTAGTATAATGCAGAACATATATCAGAGTTTTGTGCCCTCAGGTCTGGACCCAGCAGGCCCAATGTTCAAGAGTGCTGATCCATTTGACCGTCTGGATTCATCTGATGCTTTGTTTGTTGAGGCAATACACACTGACTCTGACTGTAAGAGTGAATCATTCCTTTGGCTGAAATTACATAAACTGATTTTTATTTTTTCAAGAACAGTCTAATATTGATCTGGGCATGTTTTTTGACAACTTTATTATCTTGATTTACTATCTAACCGCAAGACTTTGTATAAGTATACCGTTGGTGCTATTGTCAGTACAGAAGTAGATTATTTGTGCACAACTGAACTGAATATCTGTGCATTTGCCAGACTTTGGTATTTCTATTCCTGTTGGGCATGTGGACTTCTTCTTAAATGGCGGAATGGACCAAGCCGGTTGTGCACGCTCAAGGTTTGCTTCAAGTAAGGGGACAACAAAAGCTGTGACATTAAGCTAAATTAAATGTACCATAGCTTGATGATGAGAATCTGTCAGTTTTTATCTACTTTCCAGTGTATGGTTATGTCATTTGTGACCACATGAGGGCACTGCACGTCTACATGAGCGCCCTGAACAGCTCCTGTTCCCTTATTGGTTTCCCCTGCTCCAGTTATGAGGAATTCCTGGCAGGAAAATGCGTCACCTGCGAGGGCCCCTTCAATGGCACATGCCCGCAAATAGGTAATGATGAGTAAGCAGAATGTTTTAAAGGAACATCTTTTTAGAAAGTGTTTAAAGAAACATCTTTGTCTATTTATGAACACACATAGTGTAAAAAAGTGGAAAAGTTTTCATATTTACCAAAGTATTTGAAAGTAAAAAGTGAACTTTTTTCTGAATAATAATTCTGAGGGGTTTTGCATGCTAATCTAATCTTGGATGGTTATGACATTGATGTTCTAGTTCATGTAGTTGTTCAATCAGGCATTTCTTTTGTATACATGAATGTTTTACTCCAACTGGACAATGTATCACTTGAGGCTGATTATGTAACAACAGGATAATGTTGTTTCATGTAATGAATGACGCAAGCCTTGCCCAGGTGTGCTCCTTCACTGTCTGTTTTTATATGTGTATGTATTTCAGGCTTGTTAAAGAATAGTGGGATAACAGCTAATCCCCTGCCAAATCAAGAGAAGGCCTATCTCCTGACCACTGCTACGGCTCCTTATTGTGGTGTGTATGATTTTGTGCATATTGTCATTTATCAAAAGTTCACTCTCACAGATAATGTAGGTATTAACCAGTGTTGGGGGTAACGCATTACAAGTAATGCAAGTTATGTAATCTGACTACTTTTTTGAAGTAACTAGTAAAGTAATGCGTTACTTGACTGACAGCTCTTGTGTTGCCATATTGAGAGAAATCGGGAGTAAGTGCAAAGGCATTGTGTGCGCTGTGTAAACATGATGTTACTGTAGTAGACTAAATGTGAACATGCATTTACTCATCTCACCTGCACAAAAACAGATTCAGTGTTCCTCAACATAAATAAAAACAGTCAAATGCAAACTCGGAATATTACACAAACCTGCAATAATTAAATGTGTTAAATATGGACAAATACCATTTATGTATTTAATCTCATTTTATTAACCAGTGTCTTTGCTACTGATCTTCGATGATCCAATTCAACCATACTAAGCAAAAATGACACATTTGTGTTTCATTTTTGTTATTGCTGAATAGTGTAGACTTTTTTTCTCCTGCATCATATTCTTCATGCAATTTGTTTAGGCCGCGTCCTCTACTGCACAGACGTGAATTTACATTTCCTTCACTTCTGGTGTGAAAGGGCTTTTACTTTTGTAAAAGAAGAAACGTTTTTATATAAAAAAAAAAACAAGCAAGCCCTGCGCATATTTAAAAAGTAACTCAAAAGTAACATAACGCATTCCATAAAAATTTACTTTTTTACTTTTTTATTTTTATTCTTTTTTTTTTTTTACTTTAATTACTTTTTTAATGAACGTAATTACTTTCTTTTTTAGGGAGTAACGCAATATTGTAATGCATTACTTTTAAAAGTAACTTTTCCCAACACTGGTATTAACATCTTGGTATTAACAGCTTTTTAGTAAGGATGCATCAGAGTGATCAAAAGTGACAGTAAAGTTTTGTAATTTTACATTACAAAAATTCCATTTCAAATAAATGCTGTTGTTTTGAACATTTTATGCATTAAATAATTCTAAAAGAAAGTATAACAGGTTTCTACAAAAAAATATTAAAGGGATAGTTCACCTAAATATGAAAAGTCTGTCATTAATTACTGACCCTCATGTCGTTCCAAACCTGGACTATATTAATGATGTCCTTACTACCTTTCTGGGCCTTGAACGTGGTAGTTGCCTATGCAGGGTCAGAAAGCTCTCGGATTTCATCAAAAATATTTTAATTTGTGATCTGAAGACGAACAAAGGTCTTGGAACGACACGAGGGTGAGTAATTAATGACAAAAAAAATCCTTTTTGGGTGAACTAACACTATAAACTCTTTTAAACATTGATAATAATAAGAAATGTTTCTTGAGCAACAAGTCAAGATATTAGAATGAATTCCGAAGACTGGAGTAACTGCTGCTGAAAACGGTTATTTAAGATTGTAATAATATTTCAAAATGTTACTGTATATTTGGTAAAATAATAATGCAGGTTAGCATAAGAGACTTCTTTAAAAACATTTTAAAAAATTTTGTGTATTACTCTGTTTAAGAGTTTATAAATGTGTTGTGTTAATGAAAAATACAGCCAAATAATCCCACTCATGCCCTCCTACTCTTTTTTTCAGTGCATCACATCCTAGTGGAATTGAAGGTTTCCCCTTTAGACAAGGCTGCTGATGTTCAGCTCACCCTGATCTCTGTGGGACACCCCGAGACAGAGCTGAAACTCAAACTGTATGTATTATATTTCCAACAAGCCATAGCCTGTTCTTTTATTGCATGTTTACTCCTTTAACTGTTTAAATCAGGTGTGTGAATATCTTTGTACATATGTATTTCAGAAATACAGATGAATTGTTGCATAAAAAGGTGGCTGCACACCCAGAGCAACTGTGTAAAATTGACTCCGTGCAGCTGAAAAACACAGGAGCACGATTCTACAGACAAGGAGATATTCATTTTGAGTATATCTGCATCTCTGAAGTCCCTCAAACCAGGTAAATGCAGCCACAATGTTTGCCTTTAAACTCTTTTTCTCTTTCTGGGTACTCATTACACTATATGTCCCATCATGTAACACTGCATTTAATAATACTGTATTTCTGTTCAATTTGCAGAGGGCTGGATCCATTATGTGTGAAGAACATTAATATTGGACGGGGAGTGCCATGGTCACACGACTTTGTACAGTTGTGCTAAATTAAAAGAACAACACAAAATCTACTTAAGAGAGCTCGTACGTAAGTCGTAAATTAGTGAGACTCAAGCGAAGGTCACACACTAAATCTTGGGTTGGGAGGCATTAAAGCTTGGCGACAAAGACATAAATAGGATACAAGGGGACTGAAATGCTTAAACTCTGTTAGATATATTTATTAAGTTTTAGCACTTATATAATGTACAATATGATTTTTGTGCTCTGTTCCAGAGAGTGTTAGTGAAATATCAGCCAAGAGGAATCAAGTCAGTCATTCAACACTCAGTAGTTCTTTTTTGTGTTAAAATGTGTGTTGAAAGTACTGGTTCATTATCAATGATTAAAATGTTTGGAGTGGTGCAATACTCAAGGTACTTTTCATTATTTTGGCACTCTGATTAGCGTCTCTAACTGCATACTGCATTCTTGATATTAAAAATTCAAATCTGTTCATTTACGTTTAGTGATAAGTCACATTTTGAACCCAGCACTTAACAATTGGCCCCATGAAAATACATTTTCATCAAATGGTCAGTGTACAGTCTCAGAAGATGATGCGGAAGCATTTACTAACTTCCTATTATGATAAAGCACACACTTTTGTAATAAATCTCATTATCTATCTAATATAACTCTGAAGTGCTGTTAAAATTCATTTGTGTTTCAAAATCTAATTTGTTGCCTGTCTCATGTATTCCAAACAGATTTAAGTAACTAAGCACATGCCAATAAAAATAAAACAGTCATTTTATGTGTAATGTGGAATCATATATAACAGTATCTGTTTTGGGAGGTTTGATCTTTTGTCATGTCACTGTCCAAAACAAAAGGACATTTAAAGAATATTTTTACTGTGCGGTGTTAATGTTGTCTTCCTTTGTATGAGGGGAAACCGATTCGATGGTGATTTTGGTGGAGGAATCGTTCAGATGTTATGGTCTTTACACTGCTGAAACCATTCCTACAGCTTTGGGGTGTCAGTAGGGGCCAGTGGGGCACCTCCTCTTTGGAATCGAAGTCTTCCTGGATTATCATCCTCTGTTAGATTTATGGAAAAAGGTGACACATTAAAATGTAATTGAGAACACTGCAATAAATCCCATAAATCAATTCAGCATGTTTGTATCCATCAGTGTAGTTCACATATTGTTTTCTGTAGCCCAGGCTGTATTTCTGGACATGATCCAAATATATAATTCCTTTGGAAACTAGCGTGTGAAGGTCATGTCTCAGATGACAGCAGAACCCTCCTCCTCCCACAGCTGTCCCACTATCCTGTACCCTACAAAGTGCAATATGGCCCTTGTTGGCAAAGCCAAGTATTTCGGATCCCTGGATGTCTCAAACCCCTTCCAGACTTTCATCCAGCCTCTGGCACAAGTCAGTGTATGTGGAACAATAAAACCAGCCTTCTCTTAAGCATAGAAACATCTATCAAAAAATATCCTAGGACGGAAACACTGAATATAACTCCACTACCATGTACTAAATAAAACTTAGTTATCTCTCACCCAAGGAAGCCTTTTCCTCTTACCAGAATGCACGTGTGTTAAATGAGGACATACTTTGTGTTGTGTTTGTTAAAGTTGAAGATACTCTAATTATTACAGAACACCCTACACAAATTAATGTAGAAATAATGACTATTAATTGCATTAAATCATGAACGAATAGTATCAATATAGCCTATTAATAATAATAATAACACGCCTACAATGTAAATTAAAGTTAAGATATTTATTATTATTTTAATTAATTGAAATCTAATTTTAATTACATTTTAAATCAATAGCATTATCAATATAATAATAATTATTATTATTATTACTAGTACTATAGGCCTACAATATAATGTAATGTAAAAGCAAAATTCTAAAAAATATAATGTAAAAAATTAAATATAAATGAATATGGTATTATTAATGTAATATTATTATTATTATTATTATTACAAGCCTAAAATTAAATCAATTAAATTATATTGATAACACTATTCATATATACAAGTATATCATCAATATAATCATCATGAATTTAATAAAATAACATAATAATAATATTTTTACAAGCCTAATATTAAATTATGCAAAAAAATTAAATATATAAGTGAACAGTTTTATCAATATAATCCAAATAAATTTAATAATAATAATAAATTATAATTAAAACAGTATTCTTCTAGCATAATTATTTTCAATATAATTATGATATATTATTATATTAACTGACATCCCTTCCTTGCATATGAATTTATCAAATGGCAGTAAAGTCATAAATATAATCCAGGTCAAAAAGAAGTATACACTATAACAATTGATCATGCATATTCATCACTCTGCATTCTCTTAATCAGTCATTGTTTGTGCAGTTCAGTGTCCAGTTAGTGCAGTTGTGCCTTTTCATGCAAACCAGCCCCATCTTTACCCACCTACCCATCAATCCTTCCTTGTGTACTTACATTGTGATTTAAGAAGTGTCCCAGTGTGTTAGCATCAACACCCCAACCTTTACTTCAAATAATCTCTCTCACTCCCATAGTCCATTAGAGAGCCTGTCATATCAGCAAAGTCCTCCAGAACCAAGCTTGTTGAATCCTCACGGGAGGGCATCTCGGTGTCTGAGGGCCAGAGCTGGTGTGGAGGTTTGGGCACAGGGGTCTTTCCCTGGTCCGGATGGACGTTTCTTGCTTCTAAGGCCTGGTTAGACTGGGCTGGATCAATCGGCACGACTGTAGCATCTCCTTGGCTCCCCCTGGGCGGTGAACTAGCACAGCCACCCTCACTGCCCTGTGGCGAGGGGGTGAGGACGTGGTAGAGACTGGGCAGACGGATATCAAGGCGCACACCACTCTTGGCAAACAGCTTGTCATTGAGCGAGTACAGTTTGTCAGCAATGTCACTCCCGAGCATGACTGAGAAAAGTCGGGCAATGTAACGATCCTTAGACAGCAGAAGGTAAAGCCGACGTCTGCGCCAAGAGATGTAACGGCAGTCCGTCTCTGCGGTCAGTGTCACCTGAGGTCAAAAGGGTCATGAGAAGTTTAAGGGCATGCAATATTTCATGGTTGTATGAACACTGAATAAGTTTGCTCAATGGCACAGGCTAAAAGAAGTTGCCAAGATGTACCGGATCACATTGGTACTAATTATAAAAACAGTATGTTATCTTACCTGGAAGTTGCCCTCCTCTGTAGGTCTTAGAGACTCCCATTCTGGAGAATCAAGAAACTGGTGAGGGAAGATATAATGGAGAAACTGACCTTCTAAGGACACTCTAATCCTGTAAAAGCAAAAGATCTGGTTTTAAACACAAATGCTAAGTCCTTAGAAATGTACCTTTTGTATTCATGTTCATTTAATATGGATTTGAAAAACATTTGTAACATTTTCAAGAAGCATGAAATGAAAATTCACTCTAAATGCACAGTATTTAGAGTGAAATACATTACAATACAGAAAAAAGATCAGTCGCTACTTCCGCTACTTCCATTTATCGCAAAATGTAATGACTAAAGGAAAAAGGATTTTAACATTTATTTTAACCTTAAATACATATGAGTGTACACATCTTAAAAAAAAATTTAAAAAAATGTAAAAAAAAATTTCAAGGTAAATATCACAAAAACCATAAATGAATCATTCAAAAATATAATTATGTTTTTGGGAAGTTTCACCATATTTCACATGACAGTCATGAGGTCTGCAGGGGTCTATTTCCTAAGTAATAATTTTTTTGTTTGCAACATGATTTGGCACACAAAAGTGTTTAATTAAGCAGCAAAGAAGTTTTATATATATATATATACATATATATATATGCCTTATTTATTATTTTAACCACTTATTACACAACATTTCACCACAAAAATAATTAAGGCAATAAAAGAATTAGGACAAAAATGTTTTAAAACCTTACCAGTTTGTTAGTTCTCTTATAATCCATTACAGCGTACAAAACAATCGTAGCAAAATGGCAGCAGCTGCGTTTGTATGAAACGAGCAAGTCCGCGATACCAGGATGACATAATTAAATAATTGTACACCATTATGAATCGAGTTTTAATATTTTATTAGCTAAACAAACGCAAAGCTTCCACCAAGAAAAAATTGTTCAAGCAAGAGTACAGCGTCGACTGCTGTTACCCGGATGAGCCTGTGTTATTAGCTTTTACCGGTTGTTATCGAGGGATGGCATACCTTGGAATGTCGCGACTGACTAATCAGAATCAAGTATTCCACAGGGCCGTGTAATAATCTGAGATAACAACCGGCTGGATGTACATTATCCCTTACTTAATAGGCCTACTAAAATAACACGTGTAAATCAGTAGTTTTACATTGTGTCATAATTTTTGATTCACGTTATTTTCAGTGCTATATGGGATGAAACTTCATAACTGTAACAATTTCCAATC